TTTTTGAAATCTCAGGAACAACGTTTCATATTATTTAATATTTATTACAAATACGTTTCAAAATGAAATGACCAGTAGAGCTAAGGTACAGAGCTATACCTATCTACACGAACCATGGTGAGATGAGCGGTGACTGTTCGCTCTTCACCCGTGTGAACCTGGCCTCCCAGTATTAAAAAATTGATTCTTTTCTTCATGCATTTGTTTGCTGATCGTTTATTCACGAATTATCAGTTGGAATTTTCGTTTGCTCACCCTTAGTTCAAAAGATTTATGAGCAACCTAACGATGAGCAAACGAATGCATGAAGAAAAAAAAATCTTTTTTTTAATTCGATACCAAAACTTAATTTTCTTGTATCTTTTAAATTAAGGGTGAACAAACGACAATCGATTGATTGTCTGTCTTTTTTGTCTAACGGATCGATAATAATGGACTTAGGGAAGATTCGAACCAAAAAATCATGGACATTACCGACACGATTGTGGACATTGGCTACATAGTTCAATGTCCACGTTTTGTGGACATAGAGGCGCTTCAAAATAAAGTTGCAGCTAAATGCCGAGCATGGCCGCTCTCAGGCTCTTCTCTCTGCTTGTATCTATATTGTATGTTTCATTATACAGTATTAAAGTACACTGAGTGCGCGTGCACTAGCTCTGCCAGTAAAAAACGCTATTCGCCGAGACATCACCGTGTTTTCAGATAACTGGGATTCAATCACGTACCTTTTCCCCTAGGGCGGAAACGTGAAAAGTGAAAATTTTTTGCATGCATGTGTGCATATGTTCATACATACATTCATAAAAGTTTTCACTTTTCACGTTTCCGCCATAGAGAAAAAGTTATGTGATTAATCCCCTGAAATGGCGAATGAGTTTTCCAAAATTCCCTAGGATCAGAAAAATCTAGATTTTCGACGTTGGTAATGTTTAGTTTGTTTTTAATGAGATGCACGATGTCAGCAAATCTGGCGGCAATGTAGTTTTAACGCAAGGAATGTATCATTGTTGAATATAATTTAATTGTTTAGACTGTGATAGAGATTAATTTGTACAAATATGGGTATCACTGGGTTACTACCGTTTCTAGAAAAATCTTCTAAAAAGACAAATATCAAAGAATTTTCTGGTGGAACCGTTGCAATTGATTCTTATTGTTGGTTACACAAAGGTGCATTTTCTTGTGCTGATAAATTAATGATGGGAGAAACAACAGACGCGTAAGCATTGAGTATATTTATTATTCTTATCAATATTGTCCTTTACATTATCAGTGTTCAATAATTTTTTTATTTTATCATAGGTACGTTGTGTATTGTATGAAATATATAAACATGCTTTTAAAATATAAAATTAAACCTATTCTGGTATTCGATGGTCAACGGTTGCCTGCTAAACAACAGACAGAAATCAAGAGACGAAAGTATGTACAAAGAAACACATTATTTAAATATTATGAAGTTAAAAGAACGAGCCAGTTATGAAGTTAAAAAATTAAGGTTTACTCTATTTTAAATTACTTTAAGTTTAATAAAAATTGATGTAAGCTCATTGTCAATTCTAAATTTGATAAATAAATAACAACTGTATTGTTCTACAGGGCCAGAGAAATGAACCGTCATAAAGCGATCGAACTGATACGAATGGGTCAAGTTACAGAAGGAACAAATTTGTTGAAACGAGCTATAGATATCACTCATGAATTAGCACTAGAATTAATTAAACAATGTCAGAATGAGAACATTGATTGTATTATAGCTCCTTATGAAGCTGATGCACAATTAGCTTATTTAAATATTAGTGGTATAGCTGATGTTGTTATTACAGAAGACAGTGACTTAACACTATTTGGATGTAAGAAAGTTAGTATATTATTTTTTTTTATAGTTTATTTCCATGCTTGAATTCTATTTTCTGTTCCTTTTTAAATATATAATAATGTAGTACTGAGAAACAATATGGATTTTCCAAGGACTTATTTTCAGTTTATAATGGATACTTTCCATTTGGTGACGCAAGTTGACACAAATATTCTACCTTTGTTAATTATTGCCAAGATAAAATAATTTTTATATAATATATAATTAATAAAGTATTATTAGATAATAATTAATAAAGGTATTAGAGACTAGACAATAATAATAAAGGTAGAATGATATTTGTGTCAACTTACGTTTATGTTTACTTGTATTATCAAATAGAAAGCACCTAATATTTTTGCTACACAATTTCCTAAAAAGTCTTAAACCAAAGATACCACTTCTTAAATAAACATACTAAATACGATCCTCCTTTTTCATTAAGGATATTTTTGTTCTCCTTTTTAATATAGATATTTTTTAAAATGGATCTTGTTGGAAATGGGGTTTTGATTGCACAAGACCAATTGCATTTAGCAATGGATGTAAGACCTGAACAATTTGAGATGGATAAGTTCCGTCATCTTTGTATTTTGTCTGGTTGTGACTACCTTCCTTCTCTTCCTGGTATTGGCTTGGGAAAAGCACGAAAATTTATTACGAAAAATACAGATCGCAATATACATAAGGTTTGTTGTATCAAATTTAACAGTAAAAATTTCTATAGCTTAGCAGTAAGAAAAATCTAACAAAAATTATATATACATAAAAAAGAAATCTATGATGATATAAGTGGGAAAGTTGTACATGCCTGTCTTAAATAATGTTGACTTAATATCTTTTAAGGCATTGACACGTTTAAGTTCGGTTCTCAACATGAAATCGCTAGTCGTGCCACAGGAATATAGAGACGCATTCATATTAGCCGATATAACGTTCAAACATCAATTAGTATTCTGTCCATTACAAAGAAAACAAGTACGATTGAATCCACCCCCAGCTGATATTACTGAAGATCAATTGCAATATGCTGGGAAAGAATTGGATGCGGACCTTGCTTTACAACTAGCCCTTGGTAATTGCGACCCAGCTACTTTAAAAATGGTTCATGATTTTAATCCATTTAAAATCGTAAGTAATTAAATTAACTGTTATAAAACTGTATATTAGATCTTTAGAAATCATATGGTACTCTAGTAATAAAAAAATTTAAAAAATCATTAAATTTAATTATATATTGTAGGAGCGAAAAAGAAAGCGGGGTTTAGAACAGACAATTCATACTAGTATTTGGTCAGGCAAATATAAATCGAAAACGAAATGTCAAAACTCTTCCCCTCTTTCAAAAAATATATTGAATTCATCAATTATTAATGGAAAAGAGTTTGATAAAGAAAGAAAGTCTCTAAAGAATGCATATGTTTCATTAAATTCGCATAATAATTCAAACATTCAAAGCAGTCCAGAGGATGATTTACACAATACTGCCATTTTGGATATGTATAATTCAAGTCGAGATGCTAAGCTAACCGATAGTACTAACAAAATATCAGAAAATTATTTAAATTTAACAAGTAGCACGTCACCAGATTTACTTAAACCAAGAAATCCATTTATTAAACGAGTGTCCGATCTCACAACTTCACCAACTATTTCATCCAACGAAAATTATCGAAAAAGAGGAAGAAATTTAATGCGCACAAGACGGACTATCATAGATGAAAATACTGTAGTAGAAAGCAAATATTTCTCAAAACCAGATAAAGAGTGCAATGTACTTGAGTCAGAGAATAAAGATATTGACGTTAGTTGGATAAATACAAATTATAACACAATTCTAGATACAAATGTACATGATATAACTGGGAAACAATTCGAAACAAGATTTTCTATAACAGACATTGTACAAAATGCAAACTCAATGGAAAATACTGATAATGCACATTTATTAAATCAAAACGATTGTTTAACTAATATTTATAGTAATGTTCCTGAAAAATCAAACCTTTACGATAGGATAGATGATGTCTCATTAATAACACATACAATGACTGATAGTTGTATAACAAATAATTTTTTAATATCATCAAGTTCTAATATGAATATTAGTGATACAACCAATTATGAAAATGCGAATAGTTCACTAAATAATTCATGCGAATGGATAAATACAAAAATTAATCCAAGTTTCCCCCATAAAAAACATATATTGAAGAAACAAAGTTCATCGAATTTGGTAAGTGCGCAGACATATATAAACAAGAAATCAATAGGAAATATTAAAAAATCAATTACTTATGAATTAATATCTTAGGTACGAGTTAATTCAATAACAAAAAGGAAAGGATCACGTCAAAGTAAACAATCGCCAACAATTCCTAGACAACAGAGTTTATTAGACAAGTATGGATTCCAAAAAAGGTAAAGTAAAAATTGTGCCAAGCAATGGGCATGACATTACGTGTTATATAAAATAATTTTGCATGTATATTGTACGTATTAGATATAATTATTTTGAAAGATTTTATGTAATCAAATTTTTTTTCATAGGTCATCTCATAAACACTGATTTAAAAAATTTGAAATCTACATAATTTACTATTGAATATATTATTAGTAGTTTAATGTAATAAGTATTGACAAATGTTCAAATGTGTGAATTCTACAAAAGAACTAAAACTGAAATGTTAGAAAATGTAATGACCAATGCATTTAAAAGAATAATAATTTAGACAAGTGATCAATATTCATTTAAAACAAACTTGCATATACAAATAAATCCTGCAGAGCAGAATAAGTTCTTACTACATAATTTTATACTGCCATATACACATATATAGTATATAATCGATGAAACATTATAATTAAGCATTAGTATAACTTAGATATTTTATTGGACTGTGAGAGTTTTAAATACTGATGAGAATACATGCCGTAACGGTCAAGCTGGATCTTGGATGCTTCTAATATAATTTTGTGTGAATTTATATACTACGTATGTAGATTCTTAAATGCGCGCCAAAATGGCATTTCTCGGCACAGAATGCTAGAGATCCAAGTTCGACTCCCGACTGAGATAATATTTTTCGCAAAATAAATTAATTATTTATAGATTTTTAATGTCATTTACAGATTTTAATATGTCATTCAACATTATTAAGATCCAAGATGTTATGAGCATCAAAATTGTTAAATTGTTAATCAATTTAACTTGTGGTAGTATTGTGATAGTTTATTAGAGTTTGCGTTGTAAGTCTGAAAACAATTTTTGGTGCGCATTTAAGAATCTACATACGTAGTATATAAATTCACACGAAATTATATTAGAAGCATCAAAGATCCAGCTTAACCATTACGGCATGTTCTCATCTGTATTTAGTTTAAATATGTTAATTTTTTTATCACTTATCAAGAATGCTTTAAAATGCTCTCTATATAATGTTTAAGATAAAAGTCTCTTCTCATATACCATAATACATTACATTTATATACAGTTATTTATAATCATAAACTTTGGAAATCTCTTTAAAAACTATGAACATTGTTACACCAATTTAATTACAAACATAAACAAAAAATTTGTCAATCATTATTATTAATAAGTTTCTCAAATAAAATTATACCAAAATATACTATAAAAAATTCTATTTCTTAGCATTATCTAATAACAAGCTTTTGTATAATTACCGAACAGTATTAAAAGTGTTTCTAAAGATTGATGATTTAAAACATGTTTCTGTTAATTATCTAGTAATCACTAAAGATGCTTTTATTTATACTCAGTTTTTTGTATCTTCTGGTTCCTCCCATGGTCGTGGTATTCGAACGTTCTCCCAGTTGTCAAGATCCATCTGAATATAAAAAGTTATATTGTATAAACATAATAAGGACTGTGTGTTCCTTTCAGCTGAATTTACTGCACAATTTCTTTTTTTCTTTTAGAATAAAAAGATAAGCTGTGTAAGAGGTAAAAAGAACAGATCTATAATTTTGTAAAACTTATTTCAACCTTTGCTCATTATTTTAACATGCGTTAATATGCGTACCTTTTCCAACTTTTCGTATTCTTTTTCCAAAGTAATTTCCTCTGGTGGTCTAAATTGAAATCCCTCTTTTTCTAATTCGTCATGTATGTTACATTCAGATGTACGTCTATATCTATAACTGAAGATTTATTTGATAAGGAAATGTGTCGACAGATGCATGATTTCCTTTTCTTTCTAAGGCAGTTACCGTAATTCTGTAAATTCTCGAAGACCAAACGATCCACCGACAATAAAGATTACAAACGGTATACCATACTGCAAAACTCTAAAGCGTGACATTACATCTTTTCATTTGATATCACATAGAAGCACAACGATGATCATATAACCTTTATTTAAACCTTGTTCTTAACATGCCGCACCACAATATTGAGGTTAAGATCAGGTTAGGTTAAAGATGCCTTTTCAAGCCGTTATTTTTAGCGGCAAAACAATCATGTGGTCAAAACGAATAGCAAGCATCAACTTTGATCACGTGATCTGTTTTGACGTTAAGCTGTGTTCGATTTGGACGCGCTTTTAGCGCTTATGATCATTCTGTTTTTATCGTTTATTAGATGATTAGACTTAAAAGTAAGAATAGAAGTGCTGGAAGCGTTCAAACCGAATGCAACCTAAAAATAAACGTCGAACGTTAGCATGAAAAGGCACCTTTAAATCAATGTTGCCAATCTTACTTCTCTGCCGATAATAATGATTGGCACGCTGGCGCACGGTGATCAGCTGAATCAGCGACGCATTTACAGAACTTGATGGCGAGGGGGTGGAGAGGAGGAAGGCCATCTGGCCATCGCTATTATTGTACGACCAACGAACCAACCGTCAGTCGTCGTAGTATCGGGTTCTGTTTCTGTTTATCCTCTTAGACTGGAAAGTAAAACGCGGGCCAAAATTGGGTGATTCGCTAACGTAAAAGCGTTTCGGACGCATCCGGGTGAGTACTCGCCACTAATCTGACTACATTGTCTACTTGTCGTTTATAGCTTTGTCGAGACGAAGAATAATGGAGGTGAAAAAAAAAAAAGGTAGATTTCTCGAAATTTCGGTAGATTTGTCAGTTGTTCATTTTCGTTGCTTTCTATTTCCTCCCGTTATTTAAACGCGCTGATCGACTGGATTTTCAAGACAATAAATTCAGCTAGAGAAGTAGATTTTCGATTATTTTCTACTTACGATTTAAATCGAGCCGTTTTCAGTCGTTGGTGCATCGATTCTTCGTTTGTGTGGTGCGTAAAGTAGAACTAGAAAGATCGTTTCGTCTAGGTAGTTTCTTGTTTGTTGATAGCAACGAGACTTATTTGATACTCTGACCTAAGACACTTGAGAGATTGTTTTGAATGAAATTCCTTTGTTGTTCTATCGATTAAGTTTACATTTTGCGAAGAAAGTGACGCGCGGGTCATTGTACTCTGCTATAAACTCTGTTGCGAGTATTGTTTCTTTTATTTATTCCTAAGAACGTATTATAAAATTATTTGAAATATGGAATTCGATTCCAATGGGAATAATTCCATAATACGTGCCTTGAATGAAGTCAGAATGACAACAAAATATTAATAAAAATAAATATTAGCGTTCTGACAACTTAATACCATCAATAGAATTAACGAGAAAGTAACATTTGCAATCATTTGAACCAAGCGACTTAATCCTTTGTTCTCTAATGAGAGTTTCCATCAATATAGATTAAATCTTATTTAATCTTGCAATCAATTCAAAGAATATTCTAATGCTTGAAACTAAAAAAAGAGTAGATTGAAACGAGATTTTAAGTTAATTCTACATTGTATTGCATTTTTAAAGATCAAATTTGAAAAGATAAAATATTAAATTATGCATTGAAAAAGTATTGTTTAAATATATAATTCATAAAATGTTTTATTTAAAATTATATTAACACCAAAAATAATAATAAATCTATGTTTTTCATATCTAGAAGTTTTTTAAATTAAAAATATTTTTCAAATAATATTAAAAATTAAAAAATATGTTTGGAATATATTTTAAAATTGTAATTAAGCATCTCAGAAATAATAAAAATGTTATGTAACATTTTGTTAAAAATATTTTTAAAAAGGAGGCCATGGCCCCCTTCTAGTCCTCTTTAGCCTCCCACCCTTTGATTCGCAGTGTTACATTATGGAGAAACGATGAACACGAAGTTGACCATAAATGTACAGAGATCGGTTATTACTTCTGTTTATTTTATTTTTATCAATTAGTTTAATATGAAACAAATTTAATTCTTTTACTAATTCTATTTTTTCTTCGAGAAATTCATAGAGATTGAAAAAATAATTCGTTAGTTATAATTAAATATCGTTTCAAATGTTTGGAGAGTTGTGTTGGCAAATTTGGAAATGGCAAAGGATTCTTTACTCCTAAAATCAGATTTAGTTAAATTACAAAAACTTAGTTACGTTTGTGTTTATTAAATATTATTTATTAAATAAAACTTTCTGAATTAAAAAAATTTTAGACTTGTGTTTATTAAATATTATTTATTAAATAAAACTTTCTGAATTAAAAAAATTTTAGACTATGTTCACACATCATAAATAATATTTTAATGCTATTTTTAATTTAAGCTTAATGATTCCATTAATTATTTTTATATTATTTATTATTTATACTATTATTTATACTATTAGTTTTTATATGTATAATTTATTATGTGTATAATTTATTATATGTATAATTTACTTACGTATAATTCACAGTATTTGTTACCAATATTTGGCCATCGCAGGGTTCATGTACATGTATACGTCTAACATGTGTAACATTCGAAAAATCGATAAACATTTACTTCGGTCTGTAGAGTGCGTTGAACTCGGGCAACACGTACAACGATGACGTAATCTTTAACCTCATAACGATGCAAAAATACTTTATCTCGATTATTCGATGAATACTACATAAATTATTTTAACACAGCATACATTACATCGACAAAAATTAAATTATTCCGAGAATATTTAGCAAATTTGAATTTATAATCATTTTTTAATTTTAAAATAATTTGTTAAATTAGTATTAAACGATATTTGGTTACAATAGATATTTATATAATCACTCATATTTATTTTATACTAAAAAAAAAATTTCTTTACAGAACTGCGAAATTTTTCCGTAATACGGTACCTTTCTTTCGTCATTATGTCAGCTCTGGACGACCATTTCGTTGGCTAGAGAATGATACGAGCTTTAAGCACTGTATTCACTATCTTTCTCTTTTCCCCCTCTTCTGTTATCCAAATCATGAGTCTCCAAGCTACCACATATTTTACGAATAATTTGATTGCTCCGAACGATAGAGAAGTCTTTTCTAAGTAAACCTTCACCACGTGTGGAACGACAGGTAGTCTAATGTTGATTTTTATTAATGTAGATCAACTTTTATCTTGGTTTAACTTACTCTTTATCTTTTTTCTAATTTTTAGATCTGGAAAAAGACGAAAACTTTTAGTTAAACTAAAATTAAAGTTGATCTCTATTGATAAATATGAGCATTAACCCTTTTTCTCTCTCACTGTAGATTAACTTTAATTCAATTAATTCACTTTAACTCGATGGATTTAACTTAAACTCGGATCAAACTCGGTTTAATTTATTCTTTTTTGTATATTTAAACTGGAAATTGTACAAACACACAAGAAATATTATTATGAACAAAGAATAACTTTGACCGAATATAGTGTTTCTCATTCATGTGTTTTTATTTTTTCTAATTCTTGTAAAGGATAGAAAATTGAACTGAGACTAAAGTTACTCTACATTGGTAGAAATTGCCATAAGCAATCGAATTAAAAAATCGGAGATTAATTTAACCGGCAAAGTTTTTAGCTCATCTTTTTTAAATCGTGAATTCGTGTATCCGCGATATTAGACAGATAGTTTACAACATTTAAAATTTGTTTTTTGTCTACGTTTCGTTCTTGTTTACTTGCACCTTAATCTTGCATTTTTATCTCTTGTGAATACGTCGAAAAATAATATAATCGTCTCATTATTTTTCGATGAATTCGCAATCGAGAGTCGATGCATCAATCGACCACACTAGTTCGCAGACTACGCAAGACTTTGACAAAAATACGCAACTTCTTCGACAGAGAAGACACTTATCTTCCCTATGACGACAGATCGTGCCAATTTACGATGTTGACTTCGCTTAATTTGGAAATGGCTCGCCTTTAACTTTCAACGTTGATAATATCTTTTATCTATCATAAATCATATTAAGTCGGATTTCTCCTATATTTCGCACACTTGACATTGACGTTAAATTTGCGGTTTTTCAGTAATGACAGATTTGGGAGGTGTTTACGAAGGTGTAAAAACATAACTGAAAAGATTGTTTATTAAACGTCATTGCTTCATTTATCGGAGACATCTGACTATCTAGCCACAATGTTGACAGTCTCTCACTTCTTTTTCTTTATTATAAATTTTTTATGTATTATAGAGTTGTTCGAAATTGATACCGATTGGAGTTACTTCGTTCCCTAAAAAACACAATAAAAATCTAGAGAATAATTGAATAATTTTGATTGAAATCTATTTCGAATAATGTGTACTTTATTGCTTCATACATTTAATACGTTCCGCTCTCTCACCTCGAAGATGATTGAGGAAAAAAAGAGGATAGAGAGAAAAAGAGAGAGAAGCCAAGTATTTTATCAGCATGTTGCATCCTTGAGACTCTCTCTTTTCAATCGAGTCGTACAAAGACAGCACGTAGCATTTTGTTTATATAGTAATGAGCAGTCGTGTTAAAAAAGGAAACAGTTTGGTTGACCTTGCGTAATCATGCGTTTGTTCACGTATGACGCAGAATTATTTCAGAACGGAGACGTTTGTGTAAAGTCAACTTGATCTATTTTGACGAATATCAATTATTGCATATTGCTGGAGAAATAGTTTAACATTTAATGTCAATGAAAAGAAAGCCCTGCAATGCGTTAGAATCAACTCCTACTAACAAATTCGAGAAATGCAAGTGGAAGTTAATAAGATAATTTTAACGTACAGTTGACTTCTGTTTATTCGAACTTGTTGAGAGACAGTTTTGATAATCGAAATACTTATTAGTTCCGATAATAACAGCTGATATTTTAAAAACCGAAATCCAATACGTCGAGCTTTTATTATTGAAACTACAACCGGAGCATGAACTCGTTCGTGCAAATAGAGTGCAAATAAACGCGATTTCTACTGTACGTTATCTATTCAATGCTAATAATTAAAAAATTTCAATTAAATAAGCATAAAACCACGCACAAGATCTAGTTTGTGATAACTTATTAAAGTCAATAATTTATTGTCAACAACATAAATCTATAAACATTTCGGTCATAACAATGTGACCATCTTCAGTATATAATTAATTACTATAAAATGAAATAAAACGCTATATCAATAATAATTCGCTTACATCAAACCGCAACGCTAATATATTTATTTCTTCCTGGCAATGTTATCCAAAAGTTTACCTTCGCTTTTGTCTTCATGGTTAAATTTCCTTCTGATTAATACAAAATATTTATTTGACGAAACATCGTTAGCAGACTCTATAATTAAAAATTAAATTAATATAATACTATGAAGAAAAGAAAAATTCGTTATAAATGAATACAATTCAGAATTACCTATGTGCTAATAATTTAAAATTATGTTGTAATTAGAAAATTTGTAGTATTAACATTTTCTGTGTAGTAACTTTACCTTTGGATGTACGAAATATTTTTTGATTTGGAAAAAATCTTATCTAAATCGAATGAGGAGAATCTATTGTTCAAAGTTCGTAAATTTAGGGATATTCTACCTTTGTTCTTTTTTCTCCCTAATGATATGGATACGGAAAGTTTATTTCAAACTCTGTTTATACTCTTATTACTCTCTGTTTACAGATACAAGGCTGGCCAGCTGCGCCATTCTTGTTGTGTGGTTCTTCTCATCAGCCACACTACACCCGTCAAACCTGGTTGCCGGGTAGTCATAATCGGATTGTTGTAGTTAGCTGTTGCGATGTCGCACACTGCAGGAATGGACACGGGCTTGCCTGTACCGGATGCCATCCCTCCGCTCGAAGAACTTCAAGAAAACCTGGTTCTAGACCTCGTTCAGGAGGTCAAATTTCAACCGGACCTCCGTCAATTACCTATAACAACACAGGTAAGAACATCTGTGTTGTGCAGAGGAAATGGTTAAAACTTTATAAGCAGCATCAATAAAACTATTGACATTTTAATACAAGATCTTGGTATAATATCTTCAAGTTTTTTAAGATGTAACATATATTACAGATTAATAAAGATTAATTTGTTTATGTAATTATCGAACAATGTCTGTTTGTTTAGGACGACGAGATAACGATTGGTGCTCGAGATAGATCTGCTCATGTATTAAGATGCCTAAAAGTGATGTATGATTTGTCTTCAGATGTATTTTTCATTGCGATTAATCTGATAGACCGATTTTTGACTAAAATGAAGGCAAGGCAGAAGCACATGGCCTGCATCAGCGTGTCAGCCTTTTACATTGCTGCCATCCAACGGATGCAGTCCATAGAAGCCGAGCACCTTATCTCGATCTCGCAGTGCAGATGCACGGCTGATGATTTGAGACGCATGTCGGAGGTGATACGAAATAAATTGGAATGGGCACCCGGCACTGAACCCACTACCGCTCTGACTTTTCTACAGCTCTTCAACAAAATGTTTCATGCGGTAGCGAAGCAAATACATCTTGGCGATGTGTACACCAATATCGTCAAGGTAAGTTACCATCTAATTTATTTATAGGTATCTGCCTTCTTAATCTCTCTTTAGAGTTAGTTCGTCGTCTCTTATCAGAGACATAGTGATCTCTTCTGCATATATCCGTTGACATACAGAACCTACAGTTTTTACCGGTTTCAAATTATTTATTAGAGATACATATATATATTTCAATGATTTGTCTTCCGAGAGATGATCAAATAAAGTCTGATGTATGTGTATTCTGGGTGCATTTTTGGCGCCGAGAGCAATCGTGTAACTTTCTACGCCATAATTGCTACATAGATAATAAAAGAAAAAGAGATTACTCTCCTCGGTATCCAAAATGAAGCGTTAATGAAAGTCGAAATATTTGTTAAATCGTCGCATGATAATCTTATTAATTTATTTTTATGAAATTTATGATTAGATTTATGACGTTTACGATTATCATTCATCCTGTTTCAGGAATCTGAATTGATTCTCAGATTGGAAATGGTGGCTTGCGACGGTAGTTGCGCGAGTCTTAGACCCTCCGAGGTGGCTCTGGTATTACTCTGCACTTATTTGGATGCTGCTGTTAATCGACTGAATGCAAATACAGATGCCACTGTGTCTGCTGACGACTCATCCTCACACAACACATCCGTCATTACATCATCCTATCAGATGCTGAAAGACGAACTGATGCAATTTGCTGTGGAGCTCCGAGAGAAATGCAATGTATAAATATTTTATTACTTTGTTTTTTTTTTTTAAGTATTATTTAATCTAAATAAAGCATAAATATCGAAAGAAATTGCAAATGAGGACAAATATTTTCATTGACAATGAAATGAAAATTCTTCAAATATGTAAATAAAAAATTTCGAATCAAGATTAAAACAAAAAACAAATTAAAATAGAACAAAAATTACAGATTAATTCGATTTGCGTAATTCTTTTGTTGATTCTTGAAGTTCATTTTTATTACGTTTTAGATTTCAGAGGAGAATTTCCGCTCCACTCATGGAACGGTGGGTACTGTACTGAGCAAGTATAATGCCCAGGAGCAAACACCTCATAGACAGAAGTTAATCTGGAAACTTTCATCCCGCACTGCAGGTGTTTTACGTCCGACGGACAATTTTAGATCTGTATTACCTGCCATTGCAGAACATGCGCCGATTCCATCTCCAAGCAGGATCAGGTATACCTATTGCTACTTCTTTCTGAGAATGAGTTGCAATTTTAAAAAATGTCTTATTATTGGAGCATAAAATTGCATCAGTTTTTCTTTTGTAGAAAAACTCGTAAATACACTCGACGCCATGGCAATAAGAGACGCTAAAGTGACATCATCTTTTTTTTTTTTTTTAGGTACAGTTGATTTTTGTTCAATACTCTATTACTGATATTCTTATAAATTATTACGAATTTTTTAAACGAATTTTTGTTACATATTTATTTTTCACTTTTTTCAGAGTATGGTACTGGGATTTCCATTTGATATATCAATTTGATATATTAGATATCTAGTACATGTCAAGTAAAAGCGCAAGATTATCCCTTCTTTTTAGTACGAAGATCAAAATTTTACTCGAAAGTACAAACGTCGATTCACGTATTGCAATGATTTCCCTTAGATACTTTGTTTACGTCATCTATTCAAATGTCATACTGGCAAGATATAAATCATGTCTTTCATTACATAAATTAATATATAATTATGTATAAACAATGTGTCATAAGATGCATGTGAACTCGGCTGGTATTCATAGTCTGTTCTTATTTTAGCATTTAAGTAAGATTTTAAATGCTAATCAGACTCTGATTGGTTCATGATATCTTAATACTATACTAAGGACAGTCTTAAATATAAAAATCGACTGTGAATCTCAGCTAATACATAACGAAAAGATATTATCTTTTCAAAACGAACTAAGCTAGATTTTAAAGGTACAAGTTCACATGCTGCTGAAACAAACATTAGAGCGACAGATTTGCTGCTCTTATTCCAGCGGCTAAAATTTTGTAGTTTTAATAGTTCGAACTACAAGCATTTTAAACGCTCGAATGTTGTTGACAGTGCTATTGCTCCATGTCGACGATGTCGATCAATGTTAATCAAGATATAATATAACTTAATTTATTCTTTTTCCTTGTTGTTGATCGAGATAAAAGAACGTCAGAGCTGTCGCTCAAATGTCAAATTCGGCGATTTTTGCACTTTTTCATGATTAAAGTTATCGCTCTAATAGCTCTGCAACAAAAGTCATTACGTGATTTTTTGTTGTCGTAACGTGGCCAATTTGAGTGGCTCGTGAAAATGCACCTTAATGCTTAAATAATATTTTGGTGTAAATTTATATACATTTCCAGTTTTAGTTTTTATAATTTTGTATGTTTTGCCAGTATATGAATTATTATTATCACTGTATTAATCTCTGCTCTCATTGCATTACACATATATATTTCAGGATATTTGTGCGAATATTTTATTTAAAAAAGTGGAAAAAACAGATTTGAGACTCTATATTACGATGACAAGCTCACTGGAATTAAAGTGCTGTTACAAGCATAGGGAACAGGAGAAACAGAAATGAAGTAATTGTCTTTACGAAATATTGAAAATTAATGTGATACATAATGTCATTTATAGTTATTATCTAATTAGTAAAACAACATCGGTAAAAATGTGTATATCTGTATATTTATAAAATGTGTTAAAAACGAGCAAAAAGATATAAAAGAAAAAGTAATATAAGAGCTACGAAAATGTTGAGAATTTCGTATAACGTAATTAAAAGGAAAAAAAGAAAGATTATAAATATAAATTGGCCGACACAAATAACAGGTAAATTTTTTGAAATCTGCGTTTGCTAAATTTGATAAAGAAAAAAAGTTTCTTTGGATTTTATCAGGATTGGTAAAAGATAACGTTTTTTCTTAAAAAATAAAACATAATTTTTTTAAACATGTTTTAAACATATAAAAAAAACGTTGTTTAAGCATGTTTTAAAACATGTTTAAAATTTTATTTTTACCAATCCTGAATTTTATTATATCTCAAAATCTTTTATTTGTAGTATGTTTACATTGAAAAAACGGAACAATTGATGGAGTGTAGCACGAATTTGTGTGTTGCACTTTGAATAAATTACTGACGTATATGTACATATGTGTCGGATAAGTGATGAATCATTAACGAGAAATATACGAATTGTAGAATAAATTCATTCAACATTTCAAAATGCACTAATGGGTAATGTAAGATGTTGGAAACAAATTCGTTATGCATTATAGATTATAATTTTTTTATATGTAAATATCAAAATTAAGACATTGTATTTTCTTTTATCAAAAATCATTCGGATTACTTATTATTCGTACCAAATTATCTCGTATATTACAATAGCTTCTCTTGCAGTAATAATAGAATGCTTTTTATTGATATCGATTAGCTTTACGTGATTTATACCTTTACCTGATTGATTTATATCGCAATAAGATAGTTTTTAACATGAGAGTGTCAAGAAAAAGGTGTAAAGAAATGTTCTAGGTCCAATCTATGTCTCTTAAACCTTAATTGATCGAATGTAAAATAGTGTAAACTGCATATATTTTATGTTTGCAACCATTCTGGCGGAAAAGTTTTTATGAAAAAGTAAGTATAGAAAACCTACATAGATTGAGTCAAAATTTTAGGCATTCTTAATTATTCATAAATATTCACAGTGAAACGTACAATAAAATTTGTTTACCTTAAAAATTCTTAAGTTTCCGTAAAAATTTTTCTGCCAGACAATTAAGGATTAAAAGCGATTATTATATCGAAATATGAGAAGTGAGTCAGCATCGTATAAAATTAAAAAATGAAAGCTTGTGAACGATGCGCTACAATGCGAGCAAATACAATTATAGTTTTATTTGCTAAGAACTTGACTTTTTCAGACGATTTATGTTTTAATATATATTTCTCGTCTGTATGTAATTTGTGCTACACACCAAAAACGTTAAACGATAAGTCGTTACTCACAAATTTGTGCATTCGGGAACTGGTTTGCATTCATTGCATTTTAAATTAAAAAAAAAGAAACAATTGATAGTTCAAATAAATTTGTAAATCTTAGCCAGTTTACGCTAGTCATAAGTCGTACCGTACTTTTATTTTATGATCTGTGAAAATTGAAAATACATTCTCTTCTTGTCTTGTGGCATCAATACATTATACAAATTTTATTCCACACGAAGCTTTTTTATTTTCTAACAAAACCACATCACACACCATCGATAGATATAATTTTAAAATATTGTGTATATTGCTATTTATTTCATATAAATAGTTTTATCAAAGAGCACAAATTTTTTACTTGTCAGTATTATATATTATAAATGTATAATACTTTAACAATTGTTAATTAACACAGGTTTTAGTAAGCAGGTACAATGCATTTAAAACACTTATAATGTGAAACGCTTAAAAAAATAGAATGGTATACCTAATGATATTTATATTAATGATAACAATAAAATTTGTAATGCACAAAGTTTGCTTTTAATAAGATTATATAATAATGTGGAGATTAAATATAATCTACTGCAATCTTTTGTTTTACAAAAAAGAGAATTTGTTTCATATCATGATTAGAGTATATATTACATGTAGAATTATATATCAAGGTATACGAGCAATCCTTAATTTTATTAACGCATCAATGTATATAATATGTCTAATTACATAAAATTACATAAGTCACAGACATCTAAATTATAAAACGCAAGAAATAAGCAAATTTGTACAAATTAGAGATATCTTGTTTTCTGAGAAAAAGAAAAAAAAAGAGAACAGGTGTAAATCTTTGTCATAGTAATGTATCTTCTGAACGAATATATTCTCCAATATCTGCTTGGTGAAAGCAAATTACTGCTATAGGATCTGATTCTTTACAATCGGCTGTACTTTTTGCAGCAACGCCAAATCCCTGTGGTATTAAACAAAGAACATACATGAACTTATTATTGTCTTATTATCTCTTTTTATATAATGATGTTTAAGTGAAAGATAATAAAAAATGTATTGAAAATTAATTACGTATTCAATAGATTACATACCAGTGGCAAATCATTCATAGAAAATATGACAACACCTTGATATTGAGAAATATCTTCTGTCATACGAGCAAGGCCTGATTTCATAATATGATTTCCATAGAGAAACTGTTGCTCCATTGAAGGTTTTACCCAAATTTTATGCTTGATAAGAATTTTATACTTGATAAATTTGTAATTACACTTACATCTAAATGTTTATAAACATGCATTACTCACTTGTGCGTAAGGTGCTAGATAATGTAATGCAGTAATATGTAGTCTGAATTTTCCTGATTTTGTGAATTTGCCAAAGCAAGTGCCTAAACTTAACAGATGATCAGATTCTATGTTACTCGCTAACGATAATATTTTCTCTGACACATAATACACTCTGTCCTTTTTTTCCCGAAAACAGTAAATACCATCTGGCCGATCAATCAAGTTCTTCACGTTTGTGCCGATGCTACAACAATTAAATTTGAGATTGTTATATGAACATTCAGTACATTTAGAATCTACATTCAATTAGAACATTATATGGAATAAGTATAATTTAAGTTGTTAAATGACTTACTATTTTGTTAGCTTCTCGAATACGAGCTTTGTTCTTGCCTCTGATAATTTCTTCATCTTTAGAAAATACAAAAGAACATTAGGCACGTGTTCCAGTTGACAAAGCGACTAGCCTGCTCGTCGAGCAAATGAACATAATTGGTTATTACTTGTAGATCCAACCAATCATATTTGATCGCTCGGCAAACGTACCTAGCCGCTTTGCGTCTTGAACTTGCCCATTTTCTTTAAAAATTTCTATTTCTCCCATGCGAAACTTCTTCGTATTTCACACCACAGTATCCATTCGTAGCTATTCAATCGATTTGGACAGAAAAATTCAGCCTATCAGTTGCGGGATTCTCTAAACGTTTTATCGATGATTGTCGCTATCATTAACTAGACAGCCAATGGCAGGACAATCCTAAAAGAAAGCGCGGCTCTCATTGGCTGTCGCTAGTTAATTGAAATTTGACCAATGAGAATAAAAAAATTTTTGCTCTTATTATTTTGATTGGCCAAATTTTAATCTTTCAATCTTTAATCTCACTGTTCAATGCGTAGTCTGATTCCGGCCTAACAACAATTATATCGAAAAAACGTTTAGAGAATCCCGCAACAGCGTTCCATTGATCGTTCGCGATTATCGTTCGATTGTCATTTGTCATTATGACCGTTTGTTTCATGTCTTGCTGCCGGAATATTAGAGCCCCAACACACACTTTTGCACAATGCATAAAGCATGTGCATAAGGAATTTCATTGGCCCATTTTCTTATGCATGAGTCAATGGACCAATCAAATTCTTTATGTATATGGTTTATGCGTTATGCAAAAGTCTGTGCTCCCCGCTTTATTCATAAATTATAAGAAAATCCTTTTATAATTTATATAAATTATTATTCCGCGAGATAATTGTTTTCAAATAAATTCTGTTCCAACTCCCAAACTCATCAATAAATTATGTAGTTTACGATTTTTCCAATAGAAGGCCATTTTTATCAAATTGAGTTCTAAAACTGATTTAAAAAAATCCCATAATTCACATTTATTCCGACAGAGGCCTTCCCTTTTCTCTTTAATACGCGTTCCGAAACTCAATATTTTTGCCTAGCTCGTGTTTACTTACATCCGGAGGTTTTGTAGTGAATAAGCTCGGCCCTCCTATCCCGCCACGTTGTACGTTCTCTCCTGTTCCTCGTGTCTCGCGGGGGCCGAGGACACGTCGCGTGGATCCTTCCGGCATTTTCCCGTCGACGGTGAGAGAGCGAAGCTCGTTTGTCGAAGGACGCGTGTTTGTCCGTAGAGTTGTTATTTAACGGGAGCGATGAAGGTGACGGTGACGACACTCAGTGACGACAGCGTCTTCGTCCTTGACGTGAGCGAGGAGCTGGAGCTGGAGAACTTTAAGGCGTTCTGCGAGATCGAGAGTGGCGTGCCGGCCCACGAGATTGTAATAGCGTTTAACGGCCTGCCACTTATGGATGATAAAAAGTCATTGCGCGATCATGGAATCCGTGACGGCGACGCTGTTATCCTCCAGCACATGCATCAAAGCGGCAGCGACTTGAACCTGCAACCCTTTAATAGAGGTGAGTACCTACGAGTGGTCCACGACCGCATTTTGTTTTTAATGGGGGTTCAGGATTCTGTAATGAGTCGGTAGAATCGACTCATTAGGGTCTGTTTTCTGTAGTCGATCTAGTGTACACTTTTGGAACTTACGGTAAAATAGATAATATGTTAATATGTTTGATATTTATGAAAAGTGAGAGAGAGAGTTGCAGTCTCATGCAAGAAAATGGAACAATTGTTGAATTATTATAGTCTTAATCTTTCTTAATTGTACAAGTTAATTATGGCCAACTTAACCGATTAAAACTTAGGACTGCTTAGACCTTTCAAGTACTACCTTATTGTAGAACTGCAGTAAGACTATCTCAAGCACAGTCTTAAGATGCTATGAACTAATTAGAGGCCAGTATTCACAACTGTTTCTTATATTTAAGACTATCTTAAGTATAGTCTTAAGATATATAATGAACCAATTAAGTGAGCTGTATTAGCATCTTAAGATATTACTTAAGATGGTTATAAAACAAGAATGATTTATGAATATCACAGTTAAAAAGCTGTCTTAATATCTTAAGACATCCTTAGAATAAGAATAAACTATAAATACTGCTTTATGTGTTGATCAAGTAAAAGTTTTACTTCATGTATAGTTTAAAGAATTTTTTTTCCTCATTGGAGGAAAAAAAAAGAAAAGATGAATGATATATGAAGTTTTAGCTAAAAAGCTAATCTGTTATTGATTTTTATACATTGTATCTGATTTTAACAGCGCTTTTATTATTTATCTTGTTGATAGGAAATGTAGATAAGCTTTAAAACTTTAACCTTTGCTCTTTGTTTGATTATATATGTCCATTCATCTCAATATATTTAATCTTAATACTTTAAAACGTCATTGAGAAATTTAATTTATTATCTCCTTTGTGTGTTGTACTCAGCAACATATATCTTATAAAAAAAATGAACATACTAAATTTGAAGAAACATCACTCTAGCCATTCCATTACTGGACTTCAGTTCCATCAGAATTCCTGGGACCAGCAATAATCAGCGTCCATCGCCGATCGCAAACCCATCGCCGATCGCAAACCCATCGCCGATCGCAAACAACAGAGTACAAAATCCCCGTAGTGAAGACGATCCAGCTATGATAAAAAACATGTTCCTAGCTAATCCAGATCAGCTGGCATTGTTAAAACAAAATAATCCTAGATTAGCCGATGCACTATTGTCAGGAAATCTTGGTAAGTAACAGTTTTGAATATGACAACTCTTCATATTGTTTTGTATTTCTGGTCTAAATGTTCATGCATTATAGATAGATTTTCAACTGTACTCAGAGAGCAGATAGCCGCTCGAGAGGAACGACAAGCACAACGACTGAGAATGATGAATGCAGATCCCTTTGATACCGAAGCACAGCGGCTAATTGCTGAAGAGATTAGACAGAAGAATATTGAAGCAAATATGGAGGCTGCGATGGAGTACAATCCAGAGACCTTTGGCATCGTTGTTATGTTGTATATCAATTGTAAAGTCAATGGATTTCCAGTTAAAGCCTTTATTGACTCAGGTATATTGCTGATCCAACTACTATTTCTAGTAGCAAGTAAAAATGCGTTTTTTTCACGCGCTTCTTAAAAATATGTAAAACTGATCAAACTAGAGATTGAGATTGAGATTGGAATTTAACTAATTAAAGCAAAGTTTATTAAACTTGAGATTGATTTTCTTTCTTCTGATTAGTTAAATTCCAATCTAATTTCAATCTCTAATCTGATCACAGTTTAAAATTTTCTCTAATCTTCAATCTAGTTTGAATCATACTCAAGATTATTTTTACGTATCTTTGTTCTGTACTTGAGGGAAAGAAAAGAAGACTGAGTAAATGTCTATTTTTAAACGTATATATCTCGAATGATCGTTCTGCACGGTATGCAGAAAAACAATTTAATTTTAGAACGTATGACCTCTGTCCGTGAATACAGGAAAAAAATTGTTGGTCTTAATATAAATATATCCTAATTGATTTCGATCGTCTCTAGAAACATTCGTACAATGAAAGCATTGGAGAAAAAGTGCAAAATTGACTTTAATGCGCTTTTCTATCAATGTAAATTAATTTTAATCTTGATTCTATTTATTCTTCAACTTTTTCTAATTCTTAGAACTGAAAAAAGTGCTTCAAGTTGAATTGAGATTAAAATTAATTATTAATCTACATTGATAGAAATGGACATAAGTAATATCAAAGATATATTTGTAATTCAAGGTGCACAAACCACTATTATGTCTGCTGCCTGTGCCGAGAGATGCCATATTATGCGTTTGGTGGACACAAGGTGGGCCGGTGTCGCCAAGGGTGTTGGAGTACAAAGCATAATTGGTCGTATCCACATGGTACAAATACAGATTGGCAATGATCATTTAACAACATCCTTCAGTGTTCTTGAGGAACAGCCTATGGACATGCTATTGGGCTTGGATATGCTTAAAAGACATCAGTGTTGCATAGATTTGAAGAAGAACGTCTTGAAAATTGGAACTACAGGCACTGAAACTCCATTTCTGACGGAAGGTGCATTTCTTTTTTGTACCTAGCAAAACACATATATATATATATATACACAATACATACATATATATATGGTCTTAATATTATAATATATAATAAATAGATAAGATAGTATAGGACTCTTAATATTCAAAATACAACAATATATTATAAAGAGCATATAAGAGTCAAAGAGTATTAAAAAAAATTTATATTTTGAAATTAACAATAATACAATCAATTAATAATGAAACCTTTTTGACATTATCATAGGCCTACTACATGTTTCGGCTTTATATTTAAGCCCTCTTCATATAAAAATATTATAACGCATTGAATTATAACTTTAAAGTTATGTGTTTGAAAGATAGTCGATGATTTTCAAGAATAGATGAATGTTTAATTAGAGACACGAAAATTGCTCGTCAAGCGATTGATTGACCGAATGCGAAGATTTCTCATTGTTCTAATGAGAAAATATAAAGAAAATAAAAATATAATATATATTAATAATATTGAACAAGCAAAAAAACGTCTCTCTGGTAAAAAAAAAAACCTCAAAGTCCAAAAATTGAAAATATCATGTCAATGATGAAATGTTCGTCAATAGTTAGATATTTAAATTGTGATTTGAAGTCAAAGAAAGTAAAATATTTATAATATATAATATTAATATTAATCTTATATATATATGAAAAATTAATTAATATTAAGAAACGTTAGATTAAAAAATATTTTAGCAAATAAATTTATTAATTATTTCTACAGGTGATTTGCCAGAGTGTGCAAAATTAAGTGGTAACAATGATGAATCTTTAGATGACAGAGATCTCCAGCGAGCTCTCGAGGACAGCACAAGAGATGCTAAGAAACAGAGGCAGCATGGTAAGTATGTATCAGCTCAGGCTATCCTCTTAATCCTTTATCCTTTTATTTCACTTAACTTTTAAAAAAATTATATCTTCGCACCTTTCCCCTATGCCTGGTCTGTTTTATATATCTACCATCGTCTATCTTTAAATAAATTTAAATTATTAAATTTTTATTTTTGTTAGCAATTCAAAGTTATGAATATTTATTATTTAATTTGCGTGATCGTTATTTATAATTCACGATAATTTACTTATCTTTTCTTCAAAAGATCATTATTTTTTCCAACAATTTTTCTTGTCGATGATAAATGTTTTCATGGAAATTTATTAGACGGGCAAGGTAGCAGTAATCAAGGGTCATCAAGGCCCGCCATTTTAGAGACTACAATCTATCCGCATGATCCGTTCACGGAAGCCACAGTCAAGGAACTGGAGGCTCTGGGTTTTACCAGGGCACAAGTTATTGCGGAATTGCGTAGATTTAATGGGGATAAAACGCAGGCTACTGCTGCACTGTTTGCGAAATCATTAAAATTTTGAATGTGTGTTAAAAATTGTTACGTGCGATTTAAGTGTTATTGTGCGAGTTATGATGAACAAAGGGACAGGCATAGAGTAAAATTGTGAATATATGCTATAAAAATATAGGCAATAAAAATGAGAAGAACAAACAATGTTCGAAGCAATTTGTAAGTATCATTTAAGCGTTGCCAATATAATCGCTGTTTGATACTTACTTTTAATTAAGTTGATTCTCCGTTTTGTGAAATTGTTGAAATCAAATGTTATCTTTAATATGAAATTTCTTAATAATCTTCGTTTTTATTCTAATTATTCCAACATTTATTCCAATATTATTGGAATGAATATTATACATGTTTGTTATTCGCTTTTTAATACAGGATGCGTCACCAAAATCTGGACAAATTTCAATTTAAATTAGAGGATGTTATTGGCTTTCCGAGAAAGCTTGATGCTTCTAGTAAACAGTTATATTCTTAAAATGGCCGCGATGTCGAAACCAAGTGCAGAGTATAATCGAAGAACCGCTATCATCGAAAGCCTTCGCGCTGAGCGCTCAACAACGGAAATAATTCGATTGTTTGGATACCCGAGATTAAATTAGCATCGATTGTTGGTGTAAGCGAACCAACAATGCGTCGAATTGCCGAAGAGGACCTTTGATACAAATCGTACACATTGAAGATACAACAAATGAGTCATTTGATTCAAAATTAGCTCTCAGACAATGTCGACATGTTTTGGTCCAAGGAATTTTGACCTCCTAACAGCCCAGATTTAAATTCTTTGGACTACTACGTATGGAGCGTAGTTGAAAGGATCACTAACAAGTCTCGATATCCTAATGTGACGTCATTAAGGACCGCTATTGAGGCAGCATTCGTCGGCATGGACAGCGCTACATTACAGCGTGCGTGCAAACGCTTCAAACCGAGAATAGAGGCCGTCATTCAAACTAATGGGGGATATATCGAATATCTATAGGGATCCTCCAAGTGCTACGTAAAAGGATTTTGTGTAATATTTAATTTTTCATTAAAAATATTTTGTTTAAAGAAATTTGATTTGTCTGGATTTTGGTGACGCACACTGTATGTACAATCACACAAATGAAAAAGCAGCCTCAGGAAAGAACATTATTTTTTTTTAATTTTAGCTATAAAAACGGAGAAAACTACATTATAGCTCTTTAATAAATGAAAATTTGATACATTGATCAATAGTTATAATGTAAAAAAATTTTTATAGCTCAGAAACAAGTTGAAGAACGTTGAAAAACGTTGGAGACTATACGCATTAGATTGAATTTTATAAAAATGCATAAGTAATACAGAAGTTCCAGTTAAAATGATAAGAAGTTGTATTTGAAGTGTACTTTGTATATTTTCTTACACGTACGTGCAACGCCTAATTGCATTATTTCCAAATAGTATAGGGGAGAATATCCTATATCGGATCGTGTTCCAAATCGGACTGTATTTTGAGTCTTAAAGTGCTCGTTTTTACTTAATATATACTATCAAAAATTAATTAAAATATTTTAAAATTCTATTTAAAAGTCCATAAAAATAGGAGAGGTCCAGTTTGACACAGGTAAGAGATACGTCAAAATGATCTGAAGCAAAAATAAAGGGGGGAAATGAAATAATCTTTCGAACGGCATTATTGGTTTTATGATCGGACTTTATTTACGCCTCGTAGAGAACAAAAACTGCAAATAGGTCCGATTTAGACCACTCTTCCCTATTTATATATGTACTATACTATGCTATGTAGCAAAGTTGGTTGAAGGAATTAAGGCTGGGTTCACAACCTCGCTTTAAGAGGCCCTAAGCCGTAAAATCGTAAGAAATTAACCAATCATAGTTGAATGCGAGAAAAATAAACGACTGTGATTGGTTTTTTCTTACGGCTTTACGGCTTAGGGCCTCTTAAAGCGAGGTTGTGAACCCAGCCTAAATTGTTATGTGACCTAATACTTAACATAGTTAATTGCAGTACGCATAATTAATTTGTGAAATATGATTATATATTGAATATATCAAGATTTTATTTCGAATTCATACAAAAAAGACTTGTGTATACATAATTACGCTGAAGAGAATCAGCATAGTAAGCGACAAGATTTTTCTACACACCTCGAAAGATACGTATATCTTTTGCGGTATTCTTTGTAATTTTTCATTTAAGTGGTGAATATGGACAAATGTATATATATATATATATATATATAAAACTAGTACTAATAGACTCTTATAAATTTCGAGCACACGAAATGGGTTAGACAGGATTTGCGCTAGAACATCGATTTTATAGTTTGATAATATTTCAGAGACTCAAATTTGATGTTGGACTCAGCTCAAACTCAGTTCCTCATTATTTACCGCAGAACAATGCTGACTTTGTACATAAAATGACAGGCGAATAGAAGTTTCCATTTTTTTAATAAGATATTTGTTATGATAGCAGTTATATGAGGAAGTGTTTTATACACAGGTGTGTACTCAATTTATAAATAATGTCGATTTTATACTGCTGCTATTTTTTTTTGACAAGGTATTTGGTACATTATTGTAATTTCTTTGTCATACAATAAAAACATAAACAAAATGGTTTGATTTATCAGCTAAACATTCATTATTTGAGCAAAAACCCGTTAAACGATAAGTCGATAATATATATTACGTAATTTATTATATATATACTATATGTGTGTGTATGTATATGCATTGCAGTTATATTATTTTATTTCAAATTGCATTTTAAAATATATTTATTTATTTTGTGATATTATGATCTTAGATAATAAATTCAAAAAAAGGAAAATCACATTTATAAATATTTATAACATATCTATACTTTTGTCTCTCGGATTTTCAGATACTGAAAGAGAGATATACATATAAATTTTAAATGATAACGGTCATAGAAGTCTTACTGTTTCTTTATATGCGATAATCTCTGGTAATTTGTTTCATTTATCATTTATAAACAAAAAAGTAATATATATATATACACTTTATATACATATATGTATAATTATATATACATATATATAAATATACAATATATTACATATTTTTATATATGCATATATAATTTATAAGAGTGATCAAAGAAGATAGTATACGGATATAAGAATAGTTTTGTTGAAGTTTTGCTGTTTCATCATGGGTTGTCCGGTAACTCGTCCTTCGTCCATGTGAGGTCCACGACTTTCCCTTTGCGAGCGGACTCTTCACAGGCCGTAGCGATCTTACTCACCGCCAGGATCTCTTTCGACTTGACCTGCGACTCAGCCTTACCATGTATCACATCGATGAAGTGATCGAATTCTCTAAGATAGCCATTCTTAAAACGGCTAGCGAATGAGTACCAAATCGGGGCGGTGGCAATCCCTTGTACGTCATGTTGCGAATGAACAGAGTTCAACTGTTCGTTATCGGCTTGCACCATGCCCTTCGGACCAAAGACTTCCAGTCGTTGATCGTATCCATATGAGCTGTTGCGCGATAAATCGATCATGCCAACTGTTCCTGATGAAAAATGTAAGACTACTGCAACCGTGTCGAAGTCATCGATGGTCTTAATCTCTGGGATATTTGCGTGAGCTAGGACCGAAACCTGTAATTTGTATTTTTTATTTTTGTTTTTAAACATATGATATATATATATTTTTTTTATGTAACTTATTTTTAGTCCTTCGAGATAATTATAAAAAATGAAAATCAGTCTAATTCTTATAAGTGGCTATTAATATAAACAATTTAACAAAGAAAGAACATACAGCCACACGCCGGATCTTGATGACAAAAATTATTTATTTTGATTTAGAGTATACAAAGCATGACCTAAACGTTTCGGGGTCTATTTTAAACCATCAATATTTATTTAGGATTATTCAAATAAATATTTATTAAAATTTAGTATTTTTATCAGTGTGCATTGCGAACATATGTAAAAATCATACCTTATCAGGGTATTCTCCGAGAATCCAAGTAATCATATCGATATCGTGGACCAGGCAATCGTGAAAGATACCACCTGATAATTTCAAATAATCGAGAGAGGGCAGAGGGGAGTCACGAGAGACTGTTTTAATCATGTGGACGTGTCCGACCTCCCCTTTGCGAACTCGCTCTTTCACATTCGAGTAACTCGGATCAAATCGTCGATTGAACGCGGTAAACAGCGGCTTGCCAACTTTCTTGGCTATTTCGTAGCATTTGACGGTGCTTGGGCGATCTTCCGCTATAGGTTTTTCACAGAAGACTGCCTTTTTTGCTTCCAGAGCTTTAATAACTATATTTTCGTGTGTGTAAGTCGGCGACGCCACGAAAACCGCGTCGACGCTTTACAAATCATGAAAAGCAAACATGTTTGTATAGAAGCATTTGTATTATACATTTATTTTGTTTAGATATACAAATTGTGTAATTTATGTTAATATATAATCTATAATATATAATTTATATTTTATAAATGAAAATCTGTATTATAATATTATGTACTTAATTTTTAATTTTATTTTAAGTTTGTTTAACTTGATTATTTGTCAGCGCGTTTTTAATTAATACTTCTACTTACTTGGGATCCTTGAATACTCTGTCAGACTGCTTGCTATTTAAGAAGGTAACGTTGTCCAGATGCCAATACTTTCGTATACTTTGCCAATTACTCTCAACATCATCAACGATATATAAAATTTGGATACGTTTATTATCATTCATAGTCGCTAAATGTATCGTTCCGGCACGACCCACGCCGAACAGAGCCACTTTAACTATCGGTTCCTTTTCCGTTTTCAGGGCGAAGTTTTCTAAATATCTACGAAAAATATTTCTGTAACGTCCAATGTCGAAAATTTTAATTTCTTAAAATATTTAATAGTTTAAAAATAATTGTTTTTCAAAGGTTCGAAATAATAATTTATGTCATATTTTTTTATCGTATTAATGTTGTGGTGGGATAATATATTTAAATGAGGGGGGACAACAATTCTAAAATAGAGAGGTAAAGTTGGGAAGCAAGTTGAAAGGAACAACTAGCAATATGTAACCGTGGCGTATAAACAGAAGAATAGTATATGTAATAAGGATTATTAAATGCGTAAAATAATCACTAAAGAGGACCGTAGGAAAATAGTCGAAACATATGATGTTGTTGATATTGAACACAATAAAGGTTTATAATCACAGCACATTTTAACTTGCTTGGCTCGAATAGTCCTTCTCGTCTCTTATTATTTTATTTGTTCAAATTGTCAATCCTACATAAAAGTCATTCATAAAATCAATTAAAAATGTTTTTATTTAAGGCTCATACGAATTTTGTTGCACATACATCCACATTATTTCTCGTGTCGGTTTTAAATCAAAATCGTCAGCTTAAAATAAAATTGTAGCAAAATTTTAAGAAAAAAAAATACTTCTTTATTTTTTAATATGCAATTTTCTTCATCAAACAAATTTCTGTCAATTGAGAATAATATTTATGAGACGACACAGAGCGCGCCGGTGCGAATTTATATTGTGCAATGATATTGAACTAATTGCTTACTTGTTATATAGGTAATCATCCTTAGGTGGTGAAGGCTTTGGTTTGACATAGGGAGACGCATCTTTGAACTTCACCGTTGCCATTATTACGATATAAGTATATATATTATAGATTTTGAAATCTGTCGCGACCGAGGGACCGGTTTCTGGCCAACGGTATCTCGATAAAAGCTTCTTATATACGAAAATATGAATGGAAGTGGGGATTGCTTACTGTGACGCATATTATTTGGTATCTAATAGCGCCATTCGCGTAATAGATAATAAAAGATAAATTTTTTAATTATATCAGTAATACATAACGGTAAAAATTAAGAGAATCCTTGTCATGCTGAGCTATTGCTTTTATCAAATAAGATTTCCAAATAAAAGGAAATTAAATTTCTTCCTAATTCTTTAAATTTTTTATCATTTTCATTTTTATTTTTACTACCTATTATTAACATATGCCAAGAATTCTTAACAAATACAAAGAGATTTGTGTGAATTTAAGTTTCTTGCAACATAAATTATTGAATAATTAATTGAAGTAATTTTTTAATGTATTAAAAAGCTTGAAATTAAAATATCTTTATTTATTTGTTTTCTTAAAAAAAATTAAGCCGATATTGGCATCTTAAAATCTATGGGGTTTTTATTAATTATTAACGTGTGCTTTATTAATACAAAAGCGTCACATAAACGACACTTGGCAGCAAGAGAGGCTTCCAGATGGTTCTACCTCTATTCATTAAATTTATTCACGAGCCACAATGAGAAAAGTTCAATATTGCGATTCAATCGTCCAACAACAAAGATAGAAAGAAAGAGGATTCGATAAAGCAACGACTGAGAAGACTTGAATATTTTAGCATATTCGATACATCGATCATTCTAATGACTCGAACATAACACTGACTTGTCTACGAGTGCTTTAAATATATTTACGCGATATGTCTATTGATTTTGCAGTTATGTTTGTTCATGTTTTTGCATAATCATTATGCGATACCCTTTTATTTCTCAAAATACCATGATGACCTGTAATGTATATTGATAGGAGGACCTTATTACCGCTGCAATTATACTAGTCATTTGTCCACATTACCATTTCTGTCGCGCTGTGTCATAACAATTAAATGTATTCTAGTTTTCCAATGGCCTTCAAAACGGTTTTAAATAGCTGTTAAAATTGTTTTAAAATACTAGTTAATGTGTCAATAAGCGACTTGAAAATTTCCATTATGTAATATCACAGGAAGGACAAGGGGTTATCTTTATCTATCGTATCTTTGGAATAAAAATAGATTGTAAAAAGTCATGCGTACGTAAGTCGCATACATATTCTACCGCTGCACACAAAAAGATCACATGGAAATGAGAAATCCGCTCGAACGATAATTACATAATTTATTTAAACAACGAAAATTAAATAACAAGCAACAGCAACAAGTTCACGAGAGTAGAATGCATCGTGCGTTTTTACCAATGGAGAAGATTCGTCGATAAAATTTAATAAAACGGCACCCCCGATTTTCTTCTCATTCTGAAATCAATTAAAATACACGTTTTTTTTTATCATGCAGCAACGACCACGTTCGGCAAATGCAAGACGGATCGGTTTTTGGAAAATGGATTTATGTCTGTTTTCTACCAATGCAGTTTAATTTTAATCTGAATTCAACTGGCTCTCCATGTTTTTTTAGTTCTAAAAATTAGAAAAATCGAATAAATTGAATCGAGATTAAAATTAATCTATACGTTGGTAGACTAAAATGAGCATTAATTAATTAAATTTATTTAGGGCCAGTTGTGTTCTATTTTTGGATAAACTAGCTATATTAATTTATCTAATGGATAAAGAAAAGAATAATTAAGCTGAAGTTTATCATAAGGTGGAACAACTCAGCCTTAATGACACTCTTTTTAAATTAAATATAAATGTCAATTTAATCAATCACGAAATTTATTAATCGTATCTCTTGCTCTACGATTGCATTTGCTAAATGTGTCTAATATCAAAAAGAGTTTTGTGAGACAACACCATTGATTGTGCCAGCGAGAAAAACTCGAGCTATAATTTTATTTATAATAAAGGTAACTGTAACATTTAATTTAATTAAAAAACGATGGAATTCTTAACAGAAGATCTGTATAATGTGATTGTCAGTCGACATAACTTCATGAGCAGAATGTCTAAAATCGACGCATAAGATAACTTTAAGATATCTTTCAGAATTCTTGATGAAATATCTTAAAAATGCTTCTTATAAACAATTTAAAGGTATCTTTAAAGTTATGTTGATTTTAGACATTCTATTGGGAACTACGTGAATGCTTTCGAGAAGCGATAGGAAATAAGGCAATGTTTACTCAGTCCCTTTATTAAGCTAGCACACACTGGTATCTCACAATTCATCGTTTGCCTTACGGTATACTTGCTTCGGTACGAAGACAACCTCGTCCCCGTAGTTTTCCACGTACGCCGATCTCTTTCTTCTGTCACTTCCCGGATCGGCGTCGATGAGAGCTATACTCGATCTAGTCGATCTAATAAATGGAAGTGTATCATTACGTGAAATATATCATATAAAATTTCCATTGTATCTCATGGTAGTATTCTTTAACTAACTTGACATTAATTCTCTTTATGAAAACATTAACTTTGATTTTGATTTAATATTGAAGTTATTGAATTGTACATCATTTAATTTTGGACAAATAAATTTTCAAGATGAAAACAGAAAAGAGCAACAGCTTATTTTTTTAATTAATTTATATATTATAGTATCATAACAGAAGCAATAGTAGATTTAAGAGGACCAAAGTTTTTCATTTAAGATCTTTAATATCAGATGTGAAAACTTGTGTTTTTCACAAATTAAAATTGTTTTATTAAAAAATAATTGCCAATTTTCTTTTCAAAATTCATTTCACGCGTCGTAAAGAAAATCAATTGCATTTCTATTAAGCTTATAAATAATTGAAAGAGCGAAACAATCAACATTCAAATCGAAAGTAAGTTGAATTAATGACAAAACAGCAATTACCTTTTCTTACTCCCATTAAGATCCGCTGATACCGTAAGATCACGCGGTCTCGAGAAGTCACATTCTAACGTAAAAGCGGCGTCACCTGGTGTTAACAGCTCGTCGTCGTGCTGAATCACCACGACGTTGCTGTATTTGTCACCATCCTTTCACCGAAACCACAAAAAAATGTATACAGAAATATTTGAATGTGGTATAAATAATCCAGTAATTGATCTTAAACCGTAAATTATTTTGAAGTATACATTAAATAGTGATTAAAGTTCTCTAATCTACCTTGCGAGTAATTTCTTGTAATAGAAATAGAAAGTAATTGTAATATGCTGTTAAAGAATTACAAAACATTAAGAAACACATTTTTTAAAATTGTTTATAAAAATTCCTTATATAAAAGTGTGTTAAATTTTCCAATTTATTCATTATTTAGATTAACGAATAAAAAATGTGAGAGAAATTGTCAAAATTAAAAAATCACCGGATAATATTCAAAAATATGATGTATAAGTTGTACTTTCTTTTACCAGCCATGATAGTTCATCATTACATCGTTTATAATGTACAGTGATTCACGATCAAGAAAATGTCACGAGTTAGAAAATTGCAAAAAATTGTGTGGTAGCTTGTTAAAAACTCTTTAGAAAGATATAATTTAAAAGAAAATGAATGGTTTTGAAAGAAAGAGAGAATCACGTTTTCTTTCTACTTAAGTGACTTGTTTTGCTCATAAGGCTAATAAAGAATAGTTTCAGAAAAATAATTATTAATAGGATAAACAAAAGTTCTAATGACATACCCTTTCAGTGTCACATTTGTTCAAAGGGATACTCATGGTGAAACTTCTACCGCGAACTGGATCGAGGAAACAGGACGGCTCTCGGGAATAAAAGTTACCCTGCGTGTAGATCACCCCTGAGAAATCCTCTGTAGTTTTAAGCTCGACGGTCATTCTTTCGGCGCCGCATCGCAACCCCACGCGATCGTAGCCATCGGTGGATGCACCTATCTGCATGTCTTTGGACAGATCCTGTTGCCAGATCTCTTCTGTAATTGCGAAATGATAGCTAATTTTAGACTTTTTATTATTTGATTTTTTATAGTTTTTCATTGTTTACCACAAAATAATTCAAAACGGAGTAATTGAGAAATAAAGTTTAATAAAAGTCGGAAACGAAAGTGCAACAGCGATTTATTTCACTTCTGTGGAAACTTGAATAGAAAACAATTTTAAACTATAAAAAAAATTAAGAAACTTGGGAAGAAAACAGTTTTAAATAAAGAAAATAAATACACTAAATTTGTATTCTTAAGTACAAATCCTTTAAATACATATATTTAAATAGCTTAAATTATTATTCTAAAAAAATATGGGTAAGCTTACATAATTCTCACTATGTTAATATTAATACAATATAAAAACCGACATGGTGTAGATTTAATAAAACCCGGTATATACGCCGCGTCAGGAAATATGCCGCAGAAGTCAGAAAAAATAAAAGGAGTGGGGATAATTTTCCATCAATTACTTTGTTACATGCCTTTATGATATATTAGTATTATGTTATGATTTCAGTTCTTTACTGTTAATATTAATGAAATTATTGCGAGTTAAATCGATTTTTTACTGTAGTAAGTAGTGCCATCATAATTTATAATCTACATAAAATGATTATTATAGAGCGTGTAAAAGATTTAGTGGTTATTTTGCAATACATATGTGTAGAGGAACAGTAAAGCATGTTGTATAGCAAAATACAAGTGCTTTGCTCCTGTATTGTTTGTTTAATTAGTTGTCATATATATCCCATCTATTTGGGATATACGGCATTTTTAGCGAACGGGATGCTGTGCCGCAGCACAGACGCTCTATTTAAGAAGTTTTTGTTAATTCTAACAATTATATTTTGCATTAATGCATAAATGTTGATAAATCTTAAACGTTTAAAGATTATTTTCAAAGATTTGAAGCTATTTAAAAAAATTGTATTAAGTCCTATTTGTATTCCAATTTTCATTCTGAACAATAAAAATTGTCATATATTAATAAACAATGCAAGTTACGTCGTCATTTTACATCTTATTTATAGATTATTTGTGATTTTCTTATGAATTA